AGCTACACAAAGGCAGCTCGCTTCACCTGAGGGATCGGCTTGGCCTGGCGCGGAAAATGGGCGGCCGCTTGCTGTCCTGACCCCAGCCACCCGCCCACCCCAGGCAAGAACTGAATCACAGCTGGAAAGTCCATCCGCAAGAAGAGGAGGAGCTGACTTTTGTCTTGGAGGGGCGGGAAGGTGGGGGAGGGAGCTGGGAAAACACCCCCTCCAGCCCCCTCCACCCGATGGTGGGGACAAAGGGGGAACGACCGAGCCGGCGCTGGGGGCATGGCCGCGAGCAATCCCCGGAACTGGGGTGCGGAAAGGGGTGCCCAAGAGCGTCGTCCCCAGGAACCCGACACGCTCTCCCCTCTTTCCCGCTCGGTCCCTTACCAGAGCAACTTTCTTCCAAGCGGCCCAAAACACTCGGTCCCGCCGAACCACTGGTGACCCAGCTCAGCTCTCTTAGAGCCCGGCAGAGAAGCTGCGCGGGTGCTGGAGACGCGGGTCACGTTGCGGTCCTCCAGCCCCCTCCCCACGCGCTCGCAGCCCCACCCACCCCGTCCGGCCGCTGCGCGCGGACTCGGGCGCCCCTGAGCGGGCGGGGGGACGCGGGGCGCGGGGTGGAGGCCCAGAGGTCGGCAGGGAGCCGGGTCGCAGAGCCAGCCCACCTTGGTTGCCTGCTCCTTGCTCCGGTCGATCCGCGCGCGAGTGAGGGATTCGATCCGAGACATAATCCAGCGTAAGCCGCGGGAGGACGCGGCGGTCCCGGGTGTCCAGCTCCGGCGGGGGAGGGGTCCGGCCGCACGCGTCGGCCTCGGGGACAGGAAGTCTGAGTCCCCTCGCCCCTGCACCCAGCGCCAGTTCCTCAAACCCTAGTCTCCTCCCCCACCCCGGGCTCAGGAAGGGGAGAGGCGGAGCGGAGGCAGGGCGGGGTACCCGCGCACCGGACGGGACGCCGGGGTTGGTGTTGCTGCAGCCTACAGGACAGGGGTCCTTGGACAGGTTCTAGGATCCCTTTTCCCTTTAGCGCCTAGGGACACGCTCTGACCTCGGCGACCTCCTCTTAGCTCGGCTGTCCTTGAAAAACACTGGCGCCCATTCCGGGTAACTTCACTCTTTAAAGACCCTCGGGTTAGAGGATTCTATCACCTTATCGGTAGCTGGGAGACCTAACCATAAGGGCCCATCAAACAGCCTTGAGTACACTGACGGCTTTTACAATGTTGGACTGGTATGGCCAGAGGGAGAGGGGAATCAAACGGGAACTAGAAGCTTCGTCGTTAGTAGGCTTCGCTCTTCCAAAAGAGTGAAGGGTACTCGATTCCAAAGGTCAGTAATCCACAGAAGAGGGTACCCCTCCACCCCGGCCCGCAAGCTTCTCACCCCTCTGGGCCTTGTGGACCACACACTCTGACCATCCTTTTCAGCCCCACCTCTGCCAATTACTTTGGCAGTGAAGGTGAGAAGTCTCCACCTTTCCTGAGGCTAGCTGAGGAAATCTTTCCTTGTATCCTGACACCAGTTTTCTCTGTCACAGGAGACTAGAAACAACTTGCCCCGGTCAGGAAACATTTGAGCTTGCTGAGGAGTGTGGGTGGGTTTTCATCTCTCTGGACCCTTTGAGTCAACCTGAGTTTCCTGCCACTGGGGAAATTCTCCAGTCTGTTCCATTTCCACGTTTCAAGGTCTCCCATTTCTCTGTAAAAACCAGAGCACCCTGGGACAAAGCTTTGTAAAAATTTAGGGTGCTGCCTAATCTAGTCTCAAAAAAGTGTGTGGTAAAGAGGGAGGGAGACGAGGCCCAGCCATTGTCACTATCTTCTGGCCTGCTCAGTAGCAGGACAGGATGGTGTTAGGGTTGCAGGTTTCCAGCCCAACCCAGCACTCTTGGAGCGCCAATTTTAGCCTCCCGTCTCTAATTTGGGCTCCTGCCTCGCCCACCGGCTGTGCTGGTTGGACTTCTCAGCTCCTCACCCCAGCTCGGCTCCCCACCCACTCTGCTCCTCTGACCTATCTCCTGCCTAGTAACTCCCTCACCTTTTGTACCCATTCTCCTGTTTAGGATCCTTATATAGAAAAGGCCAGAGAAAAGGAAACGATGTCCAGTCCAGGCTAGCCAGATGAGTTAGAAAGAACTTTCCCAGACCAGTTCTGTTTTCTCTGAAGGAATCCTAAGAAAGGCCTCAGGACCTCTCATGTACCTACTGGCTCTGGGCCTCCAGACTTGCCCGCCTTGAGTGACCAGCCAAAGCTGAGAAATGTACACAGTCAGCTAGAGGTCAGAATCAGCTGCCTGGTTTATCACTGGGGGGTGGGGGTGGGAGGTTGAGACCTCTGCTGGGCTGGGACCTCACTTTTCTCTAAGGCTTGAACCAGAAATTGTTATAAGGCAAACTCTGAGTAACCAGTAAATCTAGGTTTACCCAAAGACTCTCTGAGAGTCTGGTCAGTACGTAAAGCCCATGTAAAAGGTCTGGGGAAGAAGAGGGCGACCTCCTCCACCAGCCTCTTACTGTGTTACCCCAAGCTCAGCTGCTGTGTGTTCCACCCGCTCACCTCTCCCTCACTAAAACCATCTGTATAGTGCACTATGTCTTCAGTTTGATTCAGTTTCTGTTTTCTATAGCCTCTAGAACAATGAACATTTTCCTTTTTTCTGGGGGGCCAAACCCTTTCATTCCAGACCCCTGTAATCCTACCAGTGACATCTTTGAGAAATTGTTTTTAAATATAAAAAAGCAAAAACTTCTGCCAGAATCTAAAAGTAGCCAGTGCTTTCTTTGGCTCAATCAACTTGAAAAAATAATACCATTCCCATTGACAGCTAGAGAGAAAGGGTCTGGTTTCTAAAGGGCCATCAGAGGAACCAAGAGTATCCCTAGCTGTCTAGATCCAAGCACACAGTCCACAAATCGGCCTTTCTTCTGATTAATTTGAGCCTTTTTGAGCCTTGAATGTGACTTGGGATGACTAAGGTGTACATGACCACAGTGGCTTCCTAGCAAGGGCTTGTGGAGGAAGGCTTTGGGGTTTACTAAGAGGCACTAGCCACTTAACATGATTGCTACACCCCTAAGTAGCCCAGCCTCTAGGTTATCTTGTCTGTGAAATGGTGATGAATGTATTGCCATCCCTGATCTCTGTGGGAGCCATTCTAAGAAGTACAAGACAAGCGATAGGAAAGTGTTTGGCCACCTATAGGATGCTGGTCAAGCTGGGAGAAACAAGCTGCCTCCTCCTCTCCATCCCTAGCAATGTGCAGCAGTGGTACCCAAGCTGGGAACAGGGAGAAAGGGAGCATGATGTAGGCAGTCGCATTCAGTGAGGGAATAGATGGAGAGATACAGAGGCCCTGGTGAACATAGGCCAGGAAGCAGGACAAGGTGCTGCCCTATGTCCCGCCCACTCTTCCTGTCCCCTGTCCATCCTCCAGAGCCTCTACTCAGGTTCCCCTTCTTCAGGTTACTCAATCTTCGACAGGGCTGCTAGGCCAAGGGTGAGCAAATGCAGTGTGACAGAGCCTGTGTCCTGGGGGGAGGAAGACTCAGATCCTAAGGGCTTCCTGCTTGCTTTGTTTTCTAGCAGTCTGATTCCTGACCCTGTCTGCCTCCCCCATGTCCAGGGGTTTTAAGATTGTGATGTGTGTACCATATGTCTCCATCAGCTTCAGCTCCCTCTCTGGAAAGAGTCCTAGCAATGGACCTGCTCGCCCCTCTACCTTCCCTGCCCACCTGTGGGGAGGGAATCCTGCCCTCAGAGTCTGGCCTCCAGAAGGGCTCTGCCTTTGCACTTGCAACAACCTGACTGTGACTCTGCCAGATAAATAGGATGGTGTCTCCTCCAGGTTTCTCTCAGTGCTCAGGGGTGACCTCAGGGTGGAAACCACATGCACATCAGAGGGACAGGAGAGTGGCATATTGTGCTGGACTGAGTGGAGCCAGCAGTCCCAGTGCTCAGAGTGCCTGAGGCAGGATGGTCAAGCAGGCTGTAGGACTAAGAAGAAGAAAGAGGGGGAGGAGGAAAGAAGGGGAAGAGGGCGGGTGGGAGGGAGGGAAGAAGTCAGGAAGGAAGGGAGGGAGGAAGAGAAGAAATCAGGAAGGGAAGGAGGGAGAGAGGAAGACAGAGGGCCATCATGGCTAGGCATGTCTGGGATCCTAGCACTTGAGATAGAAATAAAAGGACCAAGAGTTCGAGGTCATCTTCAACTCCATAATTTAAGGGTAGCCTGGGCTATATGAAACCCTATCTCAAAAACAAGCAAACAAACAAACAAACAAGCAAATGAATGAATAATATGGCCAAGTGTGATGTCTCTGGTAGAATCTAGACTTTCAGCACTCTGGAGGCTGAGCCAGGAGGAAAGGCACAGCTGAGGCTAGCTGGATTCCAGGGGAGTCTGAGCTACAGAGGGAGACCTGTTTTCAAAACAGCAAAAAGTCTAAAAAGAAAAAAAAATATGAAAGATTGAAGCAGCCAAAGCTCCCTGCTTCCCAGAGCCAAGGGGTAATGACAGAGGAGAGAGCAGGACACCTTCACTTCCTGGCATCCCAAGGCACATGGCCACACATGTGCTACAATAATCACACACCTCGCAGCTCCCACTCTGCCTGTGGTCCTATTTCAACCCTTCAGTTGCTGTATCCACCCATAAAATTACGAGTGTAAAAGCACTTGGAAAAGTCTAACACCCTATGAATAAGGGAAAGGCACTGCTGTAATTATCATTCTTATGTCCAAAGGGCAAGAGTTCTGTTGCCCACCTCTTAGCTATGGGTGGCCTAAAATGAGGGAGCCTTGCCTCCTTTTCTCTTCCAGCTGTCTTCTAAGCTGGAGAGGAGGAGAACAGAGAAAGGCTGATTTACTGGGACACTCAGAGCATTGAGGTACATCATGTATTCCCTCACAATGAGAGCCCTCCCCCACCCCCAGCCTCTAACAGGAGAGTTGGGAGGGGTAGACAAGGAGAAAAAGCAGGATAGCAGCTCTATGCCTCTGTTTCCCAGGCTGTCTCCTACCTTGTCCCTGCCGGTCATGCCCAGGAGGAAGCTGAAAGTCCGTCGCAGAGAGGAGCCTGCCCAGGTCCCCGAGTCCTCTTCCAGCTGTTTACCACTGCAGACAGACAGGGAAAAGGTAAGGAGGAGGAACGGGAAAGAAAACAGACCACTGTGATGGCAGGTGTCCGTGCCATAGAGATAGGAGACGGAGTCATCCCCACCTCTGTAGCTCTTCTGGATCGGGATGCTCGAGTTTTCCAGGACCCTCTATTTATGAGAAAACTCCAGATCCTCCCAGATAAAGGCAGCCTCTGGCTTCCTCTCAGCTGAAGATGGGAGGGCCCAGTCCCTTTCAAACTGTTCTCCATCAAGAGTGGTTGGAGAGAGGGCCCTCCAGGGGGCATTTCCCCCTCTTAGAACAAGAGCCCTGTGTAGACCCTTTGCTGTTTGGAAACAAACCCCTGGGCCTAGAGCCAATAAAGAACCGAATTTCCTGGGATTTCATCAGCCCATCCCATGAGCTAATCCCGACCGGAGCCAGGAGGTTGTGTCAGCTAGAGAATTTTAGGATCACAAATCAGAGCCTGGTTCTTAAAGGGCCCATGTTTTGCCCACACAGACAACATCGAGAGTGAGGGCTGCCCTAACCTAATAAAGTTTTGGCCACACAAGCCAGATGAACAGGTGCTGATTTTGCATGCTTATTTGCATAGTTACTGAAATGTCCCCCATCCATCTCCATTTCTAAGCTCTATTTCAGACCCTGTCCCTTGGCTGAGAATTCCACAGCCTTCAGATAGCTCTTAGACTCACTTTCTGTCAGCCAGTTATCTGCCATCCAAAGCCCACCCATGGTCACTGTCCATTCAGCAGCAGAATGGCCAACTCCCCCATATGTCTCTGATAACAGCAAGCAAATCTCTCTCTGCTATTCGGCCAGTTCCGTAGGGTTTGGCTACTCCTTTTCTGTCCCATCCCTTCGGACCACAGCACAACAGAAGCAAAAGGATTCTACGCAGCTCAGGAAGATGGCCTCTCATCAGAAGCGTCGTGGGAACAGTGTTTGAAGAAGCAAGGAGTCTTAGGGCTACAAAGCACATACTCATCACTCCTACATCCAGGCCTTTTGTGGGCTCAGAATCCCCCAAACTCACCATTTGCTGAGGTCTGTGGCATGGGACTGGGATGAGTTACCTGCAAGGTATACAAGGAAAAGAGACGTGTCTAGTAAAAAGCCAGACAAAGGCACCTAAGGCTGCCTTCCCAACCCCCTCCACCTGGATCAGGTTCCCAGGCAGCAGGTGCATGTGACGCCATTCCTGAGGGCAGCCACTGGGGAGCAAGGACAGAGGGCGGGGTCTGGGGAGAGCACAGCTGAACAACTTGAGAACAAGCTAAAATGAAGAGCTAGCTGGAACTAAATGGCTCTTTCCTGCTCTGGTAAATGGAGAGGGCTGAGGTTCCACACTGAGTCTCCTGTACTCCATCTTTTAATCTTCATTCACAGTTATTTGTCTGTGTGCGTGTCAGGGGAGGGGCAGGTATGTAAAGATCAGGAGAGTCTCTCCTTCCACCATGTGGGTCCTGGGGATTGAACTAAAAGTTGTTAGACCTGTGGCAGGCACCTTTACCCACTCAGCCCAGAGAGTCATCTTGCCAGTCCCCACTTAAGTCATCTTCAGGACAAAGATGCACTTTAAGTAACCACCCTCATCTCTAGTGATGGGGGAGCCTGGAAAGACCCCTCCTCTCTGTGACCTCCTCCACTGGCAGGACAGTCTCAGAGAGGCTGGTGTCCTGAATAAGATCCCTCACGTTAGCTGGGTGGTAGAGGCAGAGGCAGGCAGGTCTCTGTGTTCAAGGACAGCTTGCTCTACAGAGCAAGTTCTAGGACAGAGTTACACAGAGAAACCCTGTCTCAAAAACGAACAAACAAGATCCCTCCCTTGAGCCCCAGGAGTGTATGATGTCAGTCATCCAAACTCCAAACAGCTAACTCTGGGACAGCTGGTGACAGGGATGGGGGGAAGGGGCCACCATTTCCTCACTCCACGCTTTGACTCACCATTTGGATCTGAGCAGTCCAAGAGGAAATTGATACCACTCATGGACACAGCCTTGGACAGCATGCCAGTGGCCGAGTGATCGGAAGAGGCAGTAGATGGATGGTAGAAACTCTGACCCTGGAATTGTGTGGAGTTCTCACATGAAGCCCTAGCTTTGACCACCCTCCTCAAACATGTATCCCCCACAGTTCAGCCCTTCCACCAGGCCTCCCAAGAGTCTCCACTACCCCTCATCTGGGCTATTTCTCTAGAAAGAGTTAAGATGGTATTCCAGCAGCTTAATCCATTAACCTAGAAAGAAAACACGACCTCATATACTTTCCATTGTTATTTTGTGTTTCTGTTGGGTGTGGAGGTCAGAGAACAACTTTCAAGAGTGACTTTTCTCCTTCCATCATGGGATCCAGGGATTAACTCAGGCGCTGCATTCTGCATAGCAAACACTATTACCTGCTGAGCCCACCTGCAAACCTCTTTCTTTTCAACTTATTCTTGATAAAGGGTCTTAGGTAGCTCAGGCTGGATTTGACATCACCATGGAGCTGAGGATGATCTTTAACTTGTTTTGTTTTTGTTTTTGTGTCTGTGCTTTTGAGACAGGGTTTCTCTGTGTAGCCCTGACTGTCCTAGAACTTGTTCTGTAGACCAGGCTGGCCTCAAACTCAGAGACCCACCTGCCTCCGCCTCCTGAATGGTGGGATTAAAGGCTTGCACCTATCCTCCTGTCTCTACCTTCCAAGTGTTTGGATTGCAGTCGGCCTGTGCTACTATGTCCCATTTGTAAATTGGAATGTAGGGTTTTGTTTATTTTTTAAATCAACACAGAAGGATGGAACATATTTAAGGGGCACAATGTGATGTTTTGATGTATGTATATCATGCTTGCTTTTCCTTTTTTCTAATTTTTAAATTAGATTGTGAGTATATGTGTGTATGCATATGCCACAGCACACCTGTAGAAGTCAGAGGACAACTTGCAGGAGCTAATGCTTTCCTTCCACAATATGTGTCTTAATATCAAACCCAAATCATCAGGAGTCCTAAATCAATGAGCCATCTCCTGCTCCTCTCCGTCTCTGTCTTTCAGTCCTTCTGTCTCTGTCTCTCTCCTCCCTTGCTGTGTGTGCATGTGTGTGCGTGTGTGTATGTGTGTGAACGTGTGATTGGTTTCTTTGATTCAGGGTATTACTATGTAGCTCCAGCTGGTTTGAAATTGAGATTCCATTGCCCCAGCCTCCACACTGCTGGGATTACAGACTTTTGTCGACATATCTGACTCTAGGGTTGATTTTTATTTTGATATAACATCTCATTGAGTGGCTCTGACTGTCCTGTCACTATGTAGACTAGGCTGGCCTTGAATTTACAGAAATTCTCTGGCCTTTGCCTCCAGAGTGCTGGATTAAAGAAATGAGCTACTGCACCCAGCTATAAATATTTTTTGTAAAAAGAAAGGTCTGTTTATTTAAAAACAAAAAGACAGAAGAGCCCCAAATTGATATAAATCATCGAACACACAGAGGAGAGGATCGGTGTCAGAATGTCTAAAGGATGCATTGAGCACAGTGAGGGAGGAGAACCTGGCCTCCCTTCCGAGTGTATACACTGACATTGCTAAGGCACAGAGAAGTTTAGTATGTAAACTAAACTGTGCAAAGTTCAAGATTCTCTCTCACCCTGAACAAAGATTAATTCAAATAAACTTAAGACCTTAAAGGCCTGGAACTTTGAAACTGTAGCAAGAAAACACAGGGAAACATTTTAAGATACAGGCTTAGGCAAAACCTTATTGATTTTGTTTTTGTTTGTTTACAAACAGGGTCTTCTGCAAGGTAGCCAAGGATTACCTTGTACTTCCAATAGTCCTGCCTCTATCTTTGGAGTGCTAGGGGTTACCACTGTACAGTACCAGATCTAGTTTGCTTTTGTGTGTGTGTGTGTGTGTGTGTGTGTGTGTGTGTGTGTGTGTGTATGCATGCATGCTTGAATATTTATGTGTACAACATGTGTTCAGGTTCCCAAAGAGGCCAGCAAAGAGCACCAGATTCCTTAGTGTTGATGTTATACAGGATATAAGCAAGACGGCTCTGGTCTTCTGCAAGAGCAGCAAGTACCATAACTGCTGAGCCATCTTTGTAGCTGCAGATGCAGTGGATGGCCCAGGACAACAGCTGAGCCACATCCCCAGCCCTGGGCAGAGGATTTTCTTTCTGTAAAGGATTCCTAAGGGCAGGAAATAAGACAACTGTCAAGTGCAATTACATGAAGTTTAAAACCTTCAGCACAGCAAAGGATACAATTATCAGTGTGAAGAGACAAGCTACAAAATGAGAGAAAATCTAGGTATACAAGTGATGGGACTCCTGTCTAGAATATAAAGGGGGAAAAAAGCAGGAAAATAAACACTCCAGTCAATAAATGGCCAAGCAAACTGATCACAAATGGCCAGTAAATTTATGGAAAAAAAAATGTTCTCAACATCCTTAGCTAGCAGGACAGTGAATTCAAAATCACACAGAGAGATCTACCTTAGTCTGTTCAAAGTGAATCTCATTACTTTGAACACAAACCAAGGGGCTAGAGAGATAGTCGGTGGTTAAGGACACTGGCTACTTAAGGACCCAGATTTGAGTCCCAGGACCAACAGGATGTGTCACAACTGTAGCTCCAGTCCCAGGTGATCTGACACCCTCTTCTGATTCCACTGGCACCAGGCACACATGAGGGTCACAGACATACATGCAGGCACACATACAAATAAGTTGAAAATGTTTTTAAAAGAAAACAGTTATATACCTACACAATGTAAATGTCGGTGGCTACTGAGAGTTTTAGCTGGGGCTGAGCTGTCAATCACGAACTCATGCTGTTTGGCTTATCAGCTCTGTCCCAGCAGACACTGCACCAGTATTTATCTCATCGGTACAGACAATGTGTTTAGATTATCGTCACTGTTCATCCGCAGACTCAAAATATTTGTGAGAGAGAGAAGAGAGGAGAGAGAGAGAAAGGAGAGAGAGAGGAGGTCAGGGCTGGAGAGATGGCTTTGCTCTTCTGAGTGATTACTGCTCTTGCAGGGGACTGGAATTCTGTTCCCAGCATCCACAGTAGCAGACAGCTCACAATCACCTGTAACTCCGGGTCCAGGAATCCAAGGCCCTCCTCTGCCCTTCTCAGACTCGGTACTCAGTTGCATATGCCCACACACATGCACACACATTTTCTTGTTAAAAAGGCCAGGGAAGCTGGGTGGTGGCAGTGCACACCCTGAGTCCCACACTCAGTATGCAGAAGCAGTCAAGTCTCCAAGTCCAAGACTAGCCTAGTTTACAAAAACGTTACAGGAGTGCCAAGGCTACACAGAGAAACCCTGTCTTGAAAAAAAAATTGGCAAAGGGCTGTTCACGGGGCACTTTCACCAAAGCAAGAAGTGGTAACTAAGCAGGTATGCAACAGAATTAAAAATAATCTTTAAGGCCGGGCAGTGATGGTGCACTCCTTTAATCCCAGCACTTGGGAGGCAGAGGCAGGTGGATTTCTGAGTTGAAGAGTTCGAGGCCAGCCTGGTCTACAGAGTGAGTTCCAGGACAGCCAGGGCTACACAGAGAAACCCTGTCTCGAAAAACAAACAAACAAACAAAATAATAATTTTTAACACTGGCATGGTGGTATACAGCTTTAATCCCGCACTGAGGAGGCAAAGGTAGGCAGATCTCTATGAGTTCAAGGCCAGCCTGGTCTACATAGGGAGTTTTAGGACAGCTAGAGATACATAATATAGAGACTCTGTCTCAAAAAAGAAGGAGAAGGAGAAGAAGCAGAACAAAGATTAAAATAAAATGAAAGAAACAATTAAAAAACTAAGTGGCCAGGCAGCAGTGGTGCACACCTTTATTTCCAGCACTTGGGAGGTAGAGGCAGGTGGATCTCTGTGAATCTGAGGCCAGCCTGGTCTACAGAGCTAGTTCCAGAACAGTGAGGAATGCAGGGGGAAAAAAAACCTGTCTAGAAAATCCAAAAATAAATAAAATAAAATAATAACAAAGGCAGTGAGGGCTGGTGCGGGCGATGTGTCCTGTCAGGATTGCACCTGGGTCTCATCTCTATAACCCATGAAACGATAGAAGGAGAAAATGAATCTCACAAAGTTGTACTCTGTCCTCCACGTGTGAGCCTTGTTATGCTTCCCATAATAATAAACTTACAGGGAAAAAGTATAGGGTTAAGGATATAGTTCAGTCAGTGGAGTGCTTACTCAGCATAACCAAAGCCCTGGCTTCCATCCTTAGTACCTCAGGCAACTGGCAAGGTGCTGCATGTCTATAATCTCAGCACTTGAGAGGTAGAGACTGGAAGATCAGGAGTTCAGTGTCATCCTCCACTACATAGAGACTTCCAACCTAGCCTGGGCTACATAAGACCCTGTCTCAAAAACAAAGTATAAATAAAATATGAATGGGTAACTGTAATAATTTGCAAACACACAGAGATTACAAAGTAAATAAGAGTCTTGCTTATAAGTTATGTTGTTGGGCATGAGGGTAGTACAGCCATGTAAATCTTAGTACAGAGGACGTTTAGGCTGGAAGATTATGTGCTTGAAGCCAGCCTAGACTCCGTCTCAAACAGAACAAAGAAAATGAAAAATCTAGAACATTTTATAAAACATGTCATCATTACTTTAAAATTCAGCAATAGAACCATATTACATTGTCAGTAAAATATACATTAGTGTTAAAAAAACAATTTTTAAAAAGGGGAATGATAAAAATCATGTTACCTATGACAGGAAGGAAATGAAGAAAAGGGGGGCCCCAAAGAGACATCAGTGAATAAAGCTAGCACTGACCTAAGTTTGAGCCCCAGAGCCTGTATAGCGGATGGAGAGAGCCAACACCTGAAAGCTGTCCTCTTACTTCCACAGTGGCACGTGTGCGCATGTGCAGGCACATAAGGCATATAAATAGATGGATGTTAAAAAGGAAAAAGGAAAAAGTTAGTCTGAAGTTGGTGGCACACACCCTTCCCCCCAGCACTTGGAGGCAGAGGCAGTCTGGAAGTCCTTTATAGACCAGCCTGTTCTATAACAAGAGTTCCAGGCCAGTCTGTGCCATCCAGTCTCAATAGATACATTTTTAAAAAGAAAGCAAGGGAGAGAAAGAGAGAGAGAGAGAGAGAGAGAGAGAGAGAGAGAGAGAGAGAGAGAGAGAGAAAAGGAATGGAGGGAGGAAGGGAGGAAGGAAGGAAGGAAGGAAAGAAGGAAGGAAGGAAGGAAGGAAGGAAGGAAGGAAGGAAGGAAGGAGAGAAAGTACATGTCAGCAGTCAGCAGGGACGAAGATACTGATGTTATAAATCTTGGGATGGGAAGTATTTTTGTATGTTTTGGTTTTGTTACTTATAAATCTCATATTTAAAAAAAATAAATAAAAAACAAAGTCAGAGCTGGGGGTAGTCGTTCGTGCCTGTAATCTTTACACTTAAGAGGCAGGACAAGCAGCCCAAGTTAGAAGTGAGCCTGGTCTACACTCCAACTTTCAGACCAGCTAAGGCTACATAGTCTTAAGAAACAAAAGCAAAACAGAAAAAGCCAAGTGTGTGCCTATGATCCCAGAGCTAATGAGGCAAAGGCAGGAGTAAAGAGGTCAGCCTGGGGTACATAAGTAGGCCTATCTGGAATAAAATAAATAGATAAACTCAAAAGCGAAGGGACAGTAGAAGAGAGTATCTGTCGCTGTGGTGAGCTGGAGGGCAGAGGGCAAGCGGCAGTTTTAGAAGGTCAGAGCTGCAGAGTGGCTGTATGGCCATGAAAGTGCTTGCTCTGTAAGTGGGAGGACCAGAAACTCAGATTCCAGCAACCAGCCAGGCATTGACGGCATGCACATGCACACATACCTGCATATGCGCAAGCACATGTATACACACACACACACACACACACACACACATGCACTGTACATTCCTTTACACTGTGAAAAGGTCAATTGTGGAATGAGATTGTGCTTATAAACGTCTGTCTGCAGCCCCTGTCCTAAGTGAATCAGACTTTTGGTCCGCAGGCTCTGGAGGAGTACCACAAGAAGGAAAAACAAGAACCCCAAATACTGAAGCTAAGAGAATATTGAGAGGCCTTAAAGGTCAGATGTGTGGGGGAAGGGACATAAGCAGAGTGAAGGAGCATCAGGGGAAAGGGGAGAGGAGAAATCACAATACTAAAAGGGGGTAAGTCATAGGAGACAGGAAAGAGGGTCCAGGCAAAAAAAGGAAGATAATCAGAAGAGAAAAAAACATTTCCCAAAGTCACGCTGTGCCCACCATGTTATGTGCCAGCCTCTGGGTTGGACAGCCTAATGCATTTCTTCTAATAACTGCAACTGTAAGAGTTTTATTTCTGTTATGGAGAAAGAGGAGAGACCGATCTCCGATCTACCAGCTGCTAAGGGAGGAAGATCTCGGAGTTGAGTGTCTGCTTTTTCTATATACTCACTTAAAATGGGGGGTGTCAGGAGAGAAAACCTTCAGAGATGGATGGAGACAAATAGGAAATGGAATAAGATGGGGTTCTGTTACTTTCCTGAAAGGCTGGACACAAAAACTCTTCCTTCACACCTAAGAGACGCTAACAGTAAGGGTCAGATTAGAGCTGCTAGGTAGCTGGGGTATGAGCTCCCTAGGGGAGGGGATCTTCACCCTTCACCCCTGAGGCCTGGGGCTGAAAGAGTGAAGGACAATAGCTTACAGAGCCAGGGGTTCAAAGCTGTGTGTCCTCAGGGGTCCTCAGATCCTGGGACACCACTCCCCAATTATATTCCCTCGTCCAGAATGAGTAATGCCTGGGTCCTCTCTATCTCCCTCTTCCCAGGCCCCTCCTTTATTGCTTGGGATACACACACACACACACACACACTCACCTGTGATATGCAGTGACCACAGCACTCTCCTACACTCTAGGCTTTGTGTCCTTCCTCAATTGCTATTCCTATTAAAATCTTGTTAGAGAGCTACTGTGTCTTTCAGGATTCCAGATGCCTAGTTTATTCCCTGCACAAATAATAAGTGCAGTTCTAACTCTGGGAACTGTAGGGCCCACAGAAAGAAGTGATCATAGCCTCCAGAGGGATAGGGGACTTATAAGGGGGAGGGGACAGATATACCCACACCAATACAGAGAGACAGACATAGAAATGAAGAAACAAGGTTACAGAAAGAGACAGAGGCAGGCTACTAAGCGTCCCCCGGACAGCACATACAGACAGGGAAGCAGACAGAGGACCACAGAAGATAGATTCAGATGGGCTCAAATGGAGCCCGAGCCAGGTCCGGGCACAGAGAGACTCAGCAGCTGATGGAACAGAAGAGTACAGAGTGGTTGCTGGCAGTAGAGGATCAGGAGGGGGAGCCAGGCATGGGCTGGCTGGGGTCTATCTGTCATACCCGGTGGAAGGGTTGGCCACTCCGCTGCTCCTGCCCCTGCTGCTGCTTCTGCTGCTGAGCTCCGAGAGGGGTGCCCAATTCCTCGAGGCTCTGTAGAAAGGGGGCTTCCTGGGAGCCTGGGCATTCCGATGACTGCAGTCTCCTCCTGAAACACACATTGCCACAACAACCCTTGTAGTCAGTAGTCAGTGATGGGCACCAGGAACGAACAGTTCCTCAGCCCAGCCCTGTTGTTTGCCCCCCAGCCCAGCCCTTCCTGTTAGCCTAGGCACAACTCAGACCCAAACTACTCTCGACACTGGCACAGTTGGCTTCGGACAAGAGCGGCCCCTGCTGGTACAAAGGCAGTACTACCCTCCAGAAAGGATGGAGGGGTAGGGCAAGCTGAAGTCTCCTTGTTTGGTGTCAGGTGACAACATCTTTCACTCAGCTACCGGAAAGCCAGCGCTCCATCCCTCTGCACCTGAGGCACAGAATTAATGTGGTGACAATGAGACACTCGGAGAAACTAGGCAGACGTCACAAAAGACACTCAAACTGTAGGCAGACGTCACAAAAGACACTCAAGCCAGCCTTGTGGGAAGGTATTGCTGTTTTCCCAGTTCCCACAAAACCAGCTTTGGGACAAAGTTCCAGGAGCATCTCCCTCACTCAGCAACACCCACCTCCCGCCGCCGCTCCTCTCGGTCCATGTTCATGCCCAAGAGCTGAAGACTGTTGGATCACTCACCAGAGATAAGAGCATGTCTAAGAAGACCATGCCCTTGTCAAGAGACTACCCTTGGTGGTAGCAGGGGCCCTGAACTCACATTGGACTCACGTGACAAATCCCCTCCCCCGACCTTCTCTTTTTTAACTTCCTCTATTTGGGGGAAGTGGTCGGGGATTTTCCAGGAGATAGGGAAGACATGGGTCCATCTCTCCGAGCCTGCTAAGAATGTGCAGACCTCTGAGTGAGGGCAGCTGTCCCCAGCCAAGCAGGGTGGCCTGTCCCTGTCATCTCAGTACTTGAGAGAGGCTAGCCTGGGCTACCTGGGCTACCTGAAGCTCTGTCGCAAAAATAAATGAAAACCAACTGACAAACTAATAAACATAAAACTCCTGCTGTTTTGGCTGCAACGTTGTCCAAGAGATAGGTCTGCCTGAGTCCGAAGCCAGCAGCCTGGCAGAAACCTGGGCAAACAGTATCCACTTCCGTCAAGAAGCCTCTTAAAGCCAGGTAGTGGTGGTGCTCGCCTTTAATCCCAGTACTTGGGAGGCAGAGGCAGGCAGATTTCTGAGTTCGAGGCCAGCCTGGTCTACAGAGAGAGTTCCAGGACAGCCAGGGCTACACAGAGAAACCCTGTCTCAAAAAACAAAACAAAACAAAACAAAAAAAAACAACAAAAACAAAAACAAAAAAACCTCTTAAAGTTTTCTGGACCTATTTCCTATCTGTAGAGTGAAGAGGCTAGATGATATGATCTCCAAGTTTGTTGTTTGTTGTTGTTTATTGTTGTTGTTGCTGCTGCTTTAGCTCTGTAGTATGGGGCTATGAAACTCAGATGAGCCCATTCAGATCTCCTCCCCACCCCACCCCACCCGCCTGTGCCTTCAGCGGGAATGAGTGAGCGCCACTGTGGAGAGCCCTGGTTTAGAAGTTCCATCTTTCTCAAGCTTCACCACAGGCTGTGATTCTCCAGGAGAGCTTTTCACTCCTGTCATTCCTCAAGAGATCTTTGTCTCTTCAGAGAGATTGGTGGCAAGGTGGGGGTGGGGCAAAGACACCAGGATGTGCCTTCCCAAACACTTTCTCCAAGGTCTAGAGATGGGCAAGGGAGGGTCAGGAGGTGCCGTGGGGACTCACCTGCTTATTGGGTCCTGGAATTCCTTGCCAGGCCCCCAACTGTGTCTTTTGAGGGAGTCACTAGTGTGGCTACGGGCACGGAAAGCCCCGGACCGTCTAAGGACTGAAGTGTGGAAGCCATTGCTGTTGTCCTCCTGGTTTTCCTCTCTCCCCTCCACTTCCTCCAGCTGTTCTCTGGAGTCAACAGCAGCTGGGCAGCACTGAGGGAGGCCATGGGGCACGGGGTCTTCACCTATGAAGGACTCCCCTGGGACCGATCTGTTCATGGAAAGTCCACGGAGACAGCTCTGAATCAAGAAGAAAGAGCAGGTGTGAGCAGCGTTCTAGAACCTTGGAGGCTGGCATGGTGCTACAGGCCTGTGATTCTCATCCTTCAGGAGGTGCAGCTTCAAGGTGGGGTCAAGCTAGGCTGGCAGGGAGATGGCCCTGAATTGGGGTCAGGCTAGGCTAGCTTGCATGTTGTTTCATATTAGCTTGTGCTAAGAGTGAGTCCATGTCTTTTACTTGTTTTTAAGTTTTATTTATTTTATGTATATGAGTATTCTGTTTTCATGTACACCAGAAGATGGAATCAGATTCCATTATAGATGGCTGTGAGCCACCATGTGGTTGCTGAGAATTGAACTCATGACCTCTGGGATAACAGCCAGTGCTGTTAACCACTGAGCCATCTCTCCAGCCCAACACCCTGTCTTTTTAATAAATAAATAAATAAATAAATAAATAAATAAATAAATCATAAGCTGGGCATGGGTGGCACATACTTTTAATCCCAGTACTCGAAAGGCAGAGGCAGGCTCAACTTTGTGAGTTTGAGGCTAGCCTGGTCTATGTAGCAAATTCCAGGCCATCCAGAACTACATAGTAAGATCCTATCCCATCCCCAAAGAAAGAAAAGAAGGATGAAAGAGAAGGAAAGAAAGAAAGAAAGAAAGAAAGAGAAGGAAGGAAGGAAGGAAGGAAGGAAAGAAAGAAAGAGAGAGAGAGAGAGAGAAAGGAAGCCGGGCGGTGGTGGCGCACGCCTTTAATCCCAGCACTTGGGAGGCAGAGGCAGGCGGATTTCTGAGTTTGAGGCCAGCCTGGTCTACAGAGTGAGTTCCAGGACAGCCAAAGCTACACAGAGAAACCCTGTCTCGAAAAAAAAAAAAAAAAAAAGAGAGAGAAAGGAAGGAAGGAAGAAGGAAGGAAGGAAGAAAGGAAAGAAAGAGAAAGGAAGGAAGAAAGAAAGAAAGGAAGAAAGAAAGAAAGAGAAAGAGAGAAAGAAAGAGAAAAGATCCTGGATGGGGAGGCCTGTCCAGGCTGCTGAATGCCTCCTGTCCTTCGCTGTGAGGGACAGAGTCAGAGAATGCCTGCCTCAGGGCCTCATCTGCTGCATGCAGGGTTGCCTAGAGAACTTGGCTTTTCCACCTCTTAATACAGCGTTCTTTCCAGTGAAGAGAGCCTGGCTGGGAGTGGTGGCATGTCTGCAAGCTCAGCACTTAGGAGGCAGACAGGAAAATCCAGAGTTCAAGGCCACTGTGTCCACTAAAGCGAGTTGGAAGCCAGACTAACAGTGAAACCTTATTTCAGAACGAAAAATTTAAAGAGAAGTTCTTGTCTGCTCATTACTAGCCCCTCATGGAGCACCTATATAGTAGAAAGCCATGCTATGAAAAGAAGATACTGCAGATACTGAGTCTGTCCTTAGGCGTGTGTGTGTGTCTGTGTGTGTATGTATCTGTGTGTGTGTGTCTCTGTGTGTGTGTGTCTGTTTGTGTGTGTCTGTGTGTGTCTCTGTGTATGTGTCTGTCTGTGTCTGTATGTCTGTGTGTGTATGTGTCTGTCTGTCTCTGTGTGTGTGTGTATGTGTCTGTCCGTCTCTGTCTGTCTCTGTGTGTGTATGTGTATGTGTGTGTGTGTAAGCATGTGCTCGCATAACTATCAAATACTACAAGAGAAATTTTATCAAGTCTTTGGCCAGAGTAAAAGTCTTTGGATGTATAAGGCAGTGCACATGTTTAGATCCAGCACTCAGGAGGCAGAGGCAAACATCTGGGCATTCAAGATCTACATAGTAAGTTCCAGGACAGACAAAAAACAAACCAAAACCAAAACCAACAACAGCAAAAAACCCTTTAGTCTACCATTGGGTCAGCACATATTACTAAGCAAGAGTCTCCAGAATGCAAAACAGGAGGAGCAGGTTAACTTTGAAGGAGGCTAGAGTCTGGCCAATGGAAGGAAAAAACTTCTAGGTTGGTAAAGTTATGGGGAAAAGGGCCTATGTAGGCCTGGTGAGGTGGCTTAGTGGGTAAAGGCACTTGTCTACAAGCCTGACTCCCTGAGTTCAATGCCTGGATCCTACATGGAAGGAGGGGACAGACTCCCGAAAGTCCTCTGACCTCCGCGCTATGGGATGGGTGGGTAAACAAGCGGGTTTATTTATTTATTTATTTATTTATTTATTTATTTATTTTGGTTTTTTGAGACAGGGTTTCTCTGTGAAGCCCTGGCTGTCCTGGAACTCACTCTGTAGACCAGGCTGGCCTCGAACTCAGAAATCCGCCTGCCTCTGCTTCCCAAGTGCTGGGATTAGTCACCACCATCTGTGCGCTTGAGGAGGCCAGAGGGCGCCTTCCAGGAGTCAGCTCTCTCTTTGTTCTCTTCTTTGCTCCCTCCCACCTTCCCCTGACTGCTTTCCTCAGGAAATGGCTCAAGGGACAAGGAAGCAGGCACTGAGGTCACGTCAAGTCACATCTCTGTTTCCAGTGACACACGTAGGAGATCTGAAATAGTCACTTGAAATGAAGTAACAGCCCAGGAAAAACCAGTAAGATGTCCTTTGACTTATCTTCCTGATCCCTTACTGCCCTGGACTGTCTCCACCTCTCCTCTGGTGACTTCATTGACTAAGCTGCTCACCACTAACTGTGGGCACTAGGAGGAGAACTTTAAGAACGTGCAGCAGGGGGCGCTGTAGCTCAAAGCCAACCCCATGCTTTTTCTTCAGTTGTTTTTTTTTCAAGACAGGGTTTCTCTGTGTAGCCCTGGCTGTCCTGGAACTCACTCTGTAGACCAGGCTGGCCTCGAACTCTCGAACTCAGAAATCCACCTGCCTCTGCCTCCCAAGTGCTGGGATTAAAGGCGTGCGCCACCACCGCCCGGCCCTCCTCTTTCTTCTTTACTTCCTTTTTTTTTTTCCCCAGAAAATACAAGAATGGAATTCCTTACTATGACGGTTTCAATGAGAATGGTCTCCATAGACTCACATATTTGAGTGTTTGGTCCCCAGTTGGTGGAACTGTTTTGGGAAAGCTTAGTGGGTGGGGCCTTGTTGGAGAGGCCTGTCACTAGGGGAAGGTTTAAAGTTTAAAAAACCATCACCAGCTCCCATGTCTCACCCCCTTTGCCTCCTGCCTGTGAATCAAAGATAAGCTCTCAGCTACTGCTCCAGCACCCCAGGTAATGCTTTCTTTTATAAGTTGCCTCAAATAGGCTGTCTCTTCACAGAAATAGAATCACGATTAAGATACTATGTATGGCCTAGTGGTGGGAGCACATGTCTTTATTCCCAGCACTCAGGAGGCAGAGGCTGCCCAACAGACCTCTGTGAATTTGAGGCCAGCCTGGTCTACAGAGCAAGTTCCAAGACAGCCAGGGCTACACAGCCTGTCTTGAAAAATAAACAAACATACAAAAAAGACACCTATCCACTTATCATGTGAGGATGTTAGTTAAGATATTGACAACAACTGAACACAGCAGTGTTCACCTTTTCCCAGCACTAGAGATAGAACCCAACTTGGTCTGCATAGAGTTACAGGGCAGCCAGAGCTACATAGATAGATCCTGTCTCAGAGAGAGAGGGGGTGGGGGGGAGAAATAACATGCATCATGTGACTAACATAACTCACATGCTAGGAACACACTCTATTGTCGCCACTTATTTAGGGCTTCCTGGAATGAAGGCCTAGAAAGACAGTGTAAGACAGAAGCAGAAATCGGCATCATGTCAGGTGACTCACTGTTTTGTCTTGACACAAAAAGAGAGAGAAAATAAAAAGTCACAGCCAAACACTAACACCACTGGGTTGCAAAGTTATCAAGAAGAAGAGAAAGGAACAGCATGTCTGATGCTCAAGAGCCCCTGGAAGGGAGGGGTGGGAGGGGTCTTTTAGAACAGTCCATGGCAAACCTTAGGTGACAAGGCCAAATTTGTCCCGTTAACATTTACAGTGAAAAAAAAAAATTTTTTTTAATTAAAAAAAAAAATAAAACAGCCGGGCGGTGGTGGCACACGCCTTTAATCCCAGCACTTGTGAGTCAGAGGCAGGCGGATTTCTGAGTTCGAGGCCAGCCTGATCTACAGAGTGAGTTCCAGGACAGCCAGGGCTACACAGAGAAACCCTGTCTCGAAAAACAAAACAAAACAAAACAAAACAAAAAAAACAAACAAACAAAAACAAAAAAACAAAAAAACAAAAACATTTACAGTGCTGGATGTCAAACCCAGGAGCTCAAAGATACCAGGAAAATGCTTGACCACTCAGCTACATTCCTAGATTTTGGGTTTTGAGACAGGATCTCCCTATGTAACCCAAGTATTTCAAGAGTCCATGGACACTCACCTACAACTATTTATTTATTTATTTATTATTTTTGCAATAATTTTTTTACTGTGCAGCCCTGGCTGGCCTTGAACTCACTAAGATCCACCTGCCTCTGCCTCCCAAATGCTGGGATTAAAGACATGTGCTACCATTTTTTTTTCCAAAACAGGGTTTTTCTGAGTAGCCCTGACTATCCTGGAACTCACTCTGTAGACCAGTCTGTTCTCACACTCAGAGATCCGCTGCCTCTGCCTCCTGAATGCTGGGATTAAAGGCGTGTGACATCATCTCCCAACTAGTTATTGTTGTTGTTACCATTATTATTATTATTACCGTTATTTTTTATGTATGGGTATTCTGCCTCCCTACATGTTTCCCTCAGAAACTAGAAGATATCAGATCCCCCTAAGTCTAGATTTATATATGGTTACCAGCCACCGTGTGGGTGCTGAGAATCAAATCTGGGCCTCCAGTAAGAGCACCCAGTGCTTCCAGCCTCTTGTTTTCTGAGACAATGTCTCTCTATAGCACAGGCTATGCTGGAACTTGCTAGGTAGACCAGAATGACCTCAAACACAGAGATCTACCTGCCTTTGCCTCCTGAGAGCTGAAATTAAAGGGTGTGTCTCCATGTCTGACCTTTAAAAAAAAATGTATCATATGTATATGATGTTTTGTCAGCATGTACATCTGCACAC